TTTTTTTTTTTTTTTTGGTGAGGAAGATCAGCCCCGTGCTAACATCTGCCAATCCTCCTCTTTTTTTTGCTGAGGAAGACTGGCCCTGGGCTAACATCTGTGCCCATCTTCCACCACTTTATATGGAATGCCGCCACAGCATGGCTTGCCAAGCGGTGCGTCGGTGCGTGTCTGGGATCCGAACCAGCTAACCTTGGGCTGCCACAGCGGAGCGCGCCCACTTAAACACTTGCGTCACCGGGCCGGATCCCTACTTTTTTTTTTTTTACGAGGAAGATCAGCCCTGAGCTAACATCCGATGCCAATCCCCCTCTTTTTTGCTGAGGAAGTTTGGCCCTGGGCTAACATCCATGCCCATCTTCCTCTACTTTATATGGAATGCCACCACAGCATGGCTTGACAAGCAGTGCGTCAGTGTGCGCCCGGGATCCGAACCTGTGAACTCTGGGCTGCGGAAGCTGAGCTCACGCACTTAACTGCTGTGCCACTGGGCCAGCCCCTAAAATCTACATTTTAGAGAAATATATTTTCATCTCGTAAATTTTTTCAGAGGATCAAATGGTTCTGCAATACAGAAGCATTTGTGGGTACAGATTCCCTGATAGCTGTAAGCATTATTTAAGAAAAGCTTAGAAAATTGACTTCTTAAGTACATATTGGTTTTAGTATCTGATCATTTTGTGGTTTCTGTAAATACTGGACCTTTGTTACACCCCACTGAAGCTGGTAGGAAAAAATAAATAAATAAATAAATATGATTTTACTAAAGAACATCAGTGCTCCTTTCTCAAACAGGTCTCTTCTTTCCTGCTCACACACAGCTATATACCCTTTCTCAAAATAAGGAGTTTCTTACAGTTTTCTTTTTTTTTTTGTGAGGAAGATCAGCCCTGAGCTAACATCTGTGCCAATCCTCCTCTTTTTGCTGAGGAAGACCAACCCTGAGCTAACATCTATTGCCAATCCTCCTCCTTTTTTTTTTTCCCCTTTTCTCTCCCCAAAACCCCAGTAGATAGTTGTATGTCATAGTTGCACATCCTTCTAGTTGCTGTATGTGGGACGCCACCTCAGCATGGCTTGACAATCGGTGTGTCGGTGCATGCCTGGGATCCCAACCTGGGCCACCAGTAGCGGAGCATGCGCACTTAACCGATAAGCCTTGGGGCCGGCCTCATCTTACAGTTTTCTACTTAGAAAATCTGTAATGTTACTCTTTGTATTAGTTGCTGTGGTATTTTTAATGTTTTTTATTTCCTGCAGGTATTCTTGGCGTCACCAACTAAGGGAATTTAAAAGTGAATATCGAGTTGTCGCACTGGATTTGAGAGGCTATGGAGAAACAGATGCTCCCATTCATCGAGAGAATTATAAATTGGACTGTCTAATTACCGATATAAAAGATATTTTAGACTCTTTAGGTAGGTTAGTTTTGAAAAACAGTATTAATTTTTTTTAAGGACTAACTTTCAACGATAACCTCTTTTCTCGGGGCAATGCATTTTTCATCTGCCTGAGCTGTTATCTGGATCCTGTCACCATGGTTTTGGGTATACAGCCCAAAATATTTATAGAGGAAATTTAAAATAATATATCCAGAATAACGTTCAGTCCACAAGAATGACTTTCAAAATTTGTTTTTAAAGCTAAACCTAACGTATACTATTTATTATTTTCAGAATTAAGTAATGAAAATTTGATTCTTGTACTCAGAAGATTTATTTCTTCAGAACCCACACCTAAATATTCAGTAAAAAATGTTATAAGATGCAGAAACACTTGCATTATCTTTCTTTTGTCGATCAGCTAGTGCCACAATAATATGGTGTAACAAACCACCCCAAATTCAATGGCATAAGACATAGGCATTTATTCCTATGCTCATGAATCTGCAGGTCAGCTGTAGGCTGGACCCCTCGGAATCTTTGCCTCAGACCGCAGGTCCAGCTGGGACTGGCTTCTCACTGTGACTTGGGCTGGAGCCCAAGCTAAAGTGGAGTAGCTACCTGGGATAGCCAAAGTGGCAAGAGGGTGAGCCCAGCTGCACAAGCGTATTTCGAGTTTCTGCTTGCAGTCCATTGGTCAAAGCAAGTCATATGGCTGAGCCCAAAGTCAAGTTGTACACCCACCACGAGATCAAAGCAAATCACATGACCAAGTCTAAACTCAAAGGGCAGCAAAGTATACTCCTTCTATGACAGTGGGAAGAGGAGAGGAGTAAATATTTTTTAACAATAATCTAATCCATTACATCCCTTTTGACTAAAACCCAGCTGTTACTGTCGGTATGTTATTGGAGCCAATATAATGAGAAACTCATGAAATCAAATTAAAGACCCTTTCTACAATAATCTAATAAGAACATAGATCAGGCTAATATTCTTAGAGGAGAAAAAATGGATGAGATCTGGGGGTATCAATGCAGTGTTGTCATTTAGTCTGATTACAATAAAATAGACTCAGAGACACTGATTTCCAACAGCCATATTTCATTCATATTTTGTGGTAATTCAGTCAGACGTGGCTTAAATTTTTCTTCAGGCAATTTTCTAGACAATAATATAATCTTGCTTATGACCTAATTGTGTGTGGTCTTTACCATGGTTTTCCAAACTCAGGTCTGTGGGACCACAGCTGAAGTGGCTTTTTCAGATTTTTTTTTTAATATAGATTCCTGGGACAGATTCTGAATCTGTAGGTCTGGAGTGGAGCGTGGGCATCTAAATTTTCTAAAAAGCTACATAGGTGATTCAGACACACAGGTTTTGGAAACATGAGACTTAATATCTGCATAAAGTGCATAATTAAGGTAGGACAGTGGAAAGATTCATTTCAGAGACGTACTTATTTTATGTGAGGTAATGATGCTCCCACCTGTTTCCTTCAATGATGTCAACATTTGTTTCTCAATTACAGGGTATAGCAAATGTGTTCTTATTGGCCATGATTGGGGGGGCATGATTGCTTGGCTAATTGCCATCTGTTATCCCGAAATGGTGATGAAGCTTATTGTTATTAACTTCCCTCATCCAAATGTATTTACAGGTGAGTTTAAATTTTCATTAAAACATCTTTGCTCATGTAACAATTCGCTATTGTCACTGACACTTAGGATTAAAAACAGCAAAATTTGATTAACATGATATTTTAAAAATTAAATGACTGAAATATGATATTAGCACATGACAATGTCAGATACCTGGGTTTAAATATTCCTGAAGGGTCAAAGAAAGTGTAGCTTCATATTTGCTTGTATAATTTTATTTCTTTTTAGAAAACGTTTTACTGCTAAGGTGGAGGGGGGTGGATAAAGGGAAAAATGCAGTAACGTTTTGACAGTAATGAATCCTGACAGACTAGAAATAAATTCTCCTCCTGCCTAACTGCTTTGGCTAAAGCAGCAATTCTCAAATTTTTGGTCTCAGGACTCCTTTATACTCTTGAAAATTATTAAAGACCCACTGGGCTTTTGTTTTTGTGGGTTATATCTATAAATATTCACTGTATTGGAAATTAAAAATGAGAAATTAAAAAATATTTAGGTATTAATTCATTAAAAAATAATAAATCCAGTACACATTAGTATAAATAATATTTTAAAGAAAACTAATGACATCTTCCAAAACGCAATTTTAGTGAGAAGAGTGTCATTGTTTTATATTTTTGCAAACCTCTTTAATTTTTGGCTTAATAGAAGATGGCTGGATTCTCAGATCTGCTTCTGCATTGAATCTGTGACAATATGTTGTTTGAATTGAAGTATATGAAGAAATTTGGCCTCACACAGATCTGTAATTGGAAAAGGGAGGAGTATTTTAATAGCCTTTTCAAATAACTGTGGATTTTCTTCTTTAATACTACACCAAACTCAAAAATTGGTGGTTTCTTAAAGGTTAGTAACAATGTGGAATCTGATGTCATACTAATGAACTTTTTGTACTCTGTTACATTAAAATCCATTGGTCTCTCTATCACTTTAAATGGATTTTTTACCCATGCATGATTTTGCATCATCATGCATTATAAGGTATTGGTTCACTGAGTTATGCAGATCTTCCATAAATTGACACATTTCATTATATGATATCAAAGAATCACATTCATTAATATCACCCCAATTTCATCAAAACACCTTTTAAGTATTACAAAACTGTCAAGCTCACAGTAGCAGATACAAGTTTCCAGAATTCTAATTTTCATTTGAAAGCTTGAATTTTATCATTGGCAACAAATACTGTTGATTGTTTTCCCTCAAGTGACAGGCTCGCTTTGTTCATTTTCAAGAGATTGTCTGCCAAATACCCAAGTCTAACTGATGATAGTTCGTTAGTCATTCTTTCAAGTAAAAATGGTATTCCAAAAAGGTGCAGCTAATTCAACTTATCAACGCAAACAATTGCAGAAGTGCTTTTCCTCGAGAAAAGCATTGTATTTGGGTGTTCAACAGTACTGCTTTATGTGTACTTTCTATTTCATCACAATGTTAAAAAGACATATACACAAAGGTCGAAATTTAATAAAATTAATAATTTTTGCTATTTCATCAAGAGCATTATTAAGTGAAACTGACACTTAATTTTATGTATCTATTTGTCTAATACATGTGTGTGGTGGTGAAGAATATAATGATTGTTGGTATTGTTTAGTACCACTGCCCTGATTTGTGCTCAGGCTGCAATGGCTTTATCTACCATTGCTTTTGTAACATTGATGCAAATGTCAAACAAATGAGAAAAGCTAATAATGCCTTAGTATTATTATGAAATAGTTTTGACCATCTGGATCCTTTAAAAGGGTCCTGGTGGTCCCCAGGGGTCCACATGGACTATACTTTGAGAACCTCTGCTACAAAGAGAACTCTTAAAATCTCAAGAGTGATTAAAGACCTGTGAACAATGGCTAGGCACGTTTTTATTGGTTTTGGCAAAAATTATAGTTTTGTCCTCTTTTACTACCCTTGTCAAGTTATCTGAGGTTCTGCTAAGGAACCGCTAAGGTACTTAGCAGCTACTGCTAAAACCCACAGCAGCCCTCTAGGGAACAAAAAATTCAGAACAACATATTTCTATTTCTTCCTCAAAATTAAGCAGGTGAGGGAAAAAGGGAAAATGACTACATAAATATTGTATATTATAAGAGTTGAACTTTAGATACATATCCAGTTGTCCTCTGTTGAAGTAATAGGGTAGATGCTTAGGATTCAAATATCAAACTGAGATTCATCATATGTTTTTCAGTTGTGTTAGGCAGCAGAAGTCGTGCTACATGCTTGTTCAATTGATCAGGACCCTAGAGTAAATGGTGCTGCTATATGGACAAACTGTAAACGATCATTCCAGCAAGAAGATACTTGGAATATTTTTGGAATTATTTTATCCATACCAGGTTCAACCTAGGTCAGGTCAATATGAAGTCTTCAAGTAATTTGCCTATATTTTCCCCTTAATTGTATTGATATCTCTTAATGCAGGGCTGAATAAATCTTGTTTAATGATGACTTTATAAAATGCTTAGCATAACAATGCTCTACTTACCTGGGAATTATAGTTCTAAAAACTCCAACCATGTTAAATATAGTTACAAAATTAGAAATAAGAAAAAAACTTACCTCTATACCAAAGAAAATAAAAGTATAGGCACAATACACAACAAGTATGCGCATTTAATATGTATGATTACATTACTCCTCAGTTTAAATCTTCAGTGTCTTCCCAAAGCACTTAAAATCCTTATCCTTTTGGTCCTACCTGACTGGGCTTCTGCTTTTCTTTGGGACTCATCTCATCCTCCTCCTCATTCACTACACACCGGCCATACTGGCCTTCTTTCTGTTTCTTGAATGTGCCAAGCCCAGGACCTATATTCTGTTCCTGGATGCTCTTCCTAGATCTTTGCATGGCTGACTCTCTCTTACCATTCAGGACTCAGCCCATATATCACATCCCCCGAGAAGCCTATTCTGACCACCTCTACTAAATAATAGTCCCTCTACACCACCCCACCCTCACTCTCAATCAGATTACCTTGTTTTATTTTCTTTATGGTATTATTGCTATCTAAAATGATCTTTTAAGTATTCATTACTTATTGATTAAGTTCCTTATTAATGGGAACCTTTTCTGTCTTGGTCACTGCTAAATCTCCTCACAGTAGATATTCAAATATTTATTGAATGAATTAATTGTCTAGATATATGAATGAATTTATAGGAAACGCTTTAGTTTCTGTTGAGGCCAAATGAATCAAGTATTCAAATCAGCCTGTAAGAAAAATCTTTGCAACAACAGGAAATTACCTCCCATGGATCCCTAGGAAAAGTGTTAGGTCACTGATAGTTACCCTGGAGAAAAGGCTGTGTTGTTTGGGTTTCCTGTTCCTTTCCAAATCAAGACTTCATAAAGTGAAACTTCCTTTTTATTTAAAGTGCTATAAATTTTCTAAATACCGGAAATATCCGTAATAAAATATAAGAACATAGAAAGTGTTCCAAAGAGAAATATGCACAAGCCTTATTTGTGGATTTTTTTAATGGCATCATCTTAAAGGTGAAATTGCCTTAAAAAGAAGTTCTTTCAGTAGTAGGTAATTTATATCCCTTGGATAAGGTCTAACACCACATTTTAATTTCAGAATATATTTTACGACACCCTGCCCAGCTGTTCAAATCCAGCTATTATTACTTCTTCCAAATACCATGGTTCCCAGAATTTATGTTCTCAATAAATGATTTCAAGGTAAGCCAAGCATGGTGATGGATGTTAACTTGACTTACTGTGGTGATCATTTTGCAATGTATACAAATATTGAATCATTGTGGTGTACACATGAAACTAATATAATGTTATATGTCCATTATACCTCAATAAAAAAAAAAGACTGGTGCTCAAAAGTATGACAAAATTAGGAAATTAAAAATAAAATGTAGACTGAAGCACTAAAATAAAAAAAAAGAACTGGTCCTGCTTATGTTGTTTTGATTTGTTTTAAATAATAATTTATTATTGAACATCTGTTATGTACTGTGAACTGTTAGGCATTTCCTCCTATGCAAAAAAAAAAAAGTAAGTGAAACCAATAACATATTATTATCAATGAAAAACATTTTAAATTGAAGTCCATCCTTAAGAAAGAAAAATAGACAAGTGCTAAAACTTAATAAATACTTCTAAGGCCTCATCTATAGGCTTACTTATTTTTACAGTCTCTGTTTGTATATTTGAGTGCCTGGCTGTTAAATTTTTGTGAGAGCCTGTGCCCCTCCAGGCATACCTCTTTTTAGAGAACATCACATGGGAAGATGAGGGAATATGAATGCCAGGTGAGAGAGTTTGATAGCAGCAGAAGCGGAAGCCCTTGGTGGTAAACAAAACCACTGAAACAACATAAGTATGCAGGTATTGGTGTACAAAACATATACACTGACACCAGGAGTCATATGTAGTATCTGTTTCTTGAAAGTTTATCAAATGCTTCTTGTATGTCCAACATGGTGTTCCATAGTTAGGGAGGTTAAAAAAAGACATATTATTTTACCTGGAAATACTTCTGCATATATCTCTAACAGATAAGGACTTTTTTTTTTTTTACATAACCCCAAAGCCGTTATCAAACCTAACAAAATGAACAACTCCCTAATATCATTTAATACCCATTCAAATTTCCTTAACTGTCTCAACTGTCTTTATACACTTCATTTGTTTGAATCAGGAACCAAACAAGGTCCACATTGTATTTGGTTGTTATGGCTTTTTAAACCTATAACACTTCCTTTCTTTCTCTCTCTCTCTCTCTCTCTGTCTTCTTTTTGTGAGGAAGATTGGCCCTGAGCTAACATCTGCCAATCCTCCTCTTTTTTTGCTGAGGAAGACTAGCCCTGGGCTAACATCCATGCCCATCTTCCTCTACGTTATACGGGACACCGCCACAGCGTGGCTTGACAAGCAGTGCGTTGGTGTGCACCCGGGATCCGAAGCGGCGAACCCCGGGCCGCCGCAGCAGAGTGCGTGCACTTAACCGCTTGCGCCACCAGGCCGGCCCCCTGTCTTTATTTTTTAACACTACTTTTTTATTGAAGAAATTTGGCCATTTGTCCTGAGGAATGATCCACGTTTTGGATTTGGTTGTCTGCTTCTGCTAACCTTAGTTTTTCCTACTTCATAGGTGCTACTGATCTGGAACCTTGATTAGATTGAGTTTTAATTTGACAAGAATACTTTGAAAGTGGTTCTGTGTTTTTCCTAATGCATCACATCAGGGAAGCACATAATGTCTAGTTGTCCCAGTTTTAGTAATGCTAACACTGACCGGTGAGCTCATGAGTGGTCAGCCTATCCAAATTTCTTAACAACATTTCACCAAGTAATTTCAGCATACCTTGATCATCATTGCCTAGGTCTATTATTTCATTAGGGTGTGCAAAATGGTGATTTTCTAATTTTATCATCCTTTCTGATTTTATTAACTGGAATTCTTCTATAAAGAAGAATTTTCCACATCTACTATTTGGTTATTCTGAAATACAGTTCACGCAGAATGGCATGATAAATGCTTCATTCTTTCCCTTTATAAACAACTTCCAGAGTAGTAAGTTGGTGCCCTAGAAACCTCCAATGATGACCAATGAGGGTTTATTTTTTTCACTTAACAGTACGTCCTGAAGATCACTTCATATCAGCATACACATTGTGACCATCTTTTCTTGGAGTACTAAGAACACATAATACACCATTGTGTGGCTATACTATAGTTTATTCAACCAACCTACCACTGATGGACATTTGATTTGTTTCCAGTCTCTTTCTGTTACAAATAATGTTGCAATTAATCACCTCCTGCATATATCATTTCATATTTTTGCAAGTGTGTTTTGGGGTTGAGGGATCGGCATCTTAAGTAAGAATTCCAAGGATTCTAAAGCAGGTGGTTTAGATCCATACTTTGAGAAATGCTGGTATAGAGCAATGTTTTTCAAATTGTGGGTGGGGACCCATTAGTGAGTCATGAAATCAATTTAGTGGCATGCAATTTGAATTTTTAACAGTAAAGTAGAACAGAATTGAATGGAAATTATCAGTACACGTTGTAATAAGGGTAAGGGCTATTTCTCTAAACTTTTGTTTCAGAAATATATATGTAGGTGTATCAACTGGATCATGATGTAAAATGTGTTTGTTACTCTAGGTTGTGGTCAAAAGAAGTTTGAACAACTTTGTGGGAGTGGATTTGTTGTCAGTAAACAGATAAACTTCTGTTAGCTGGACTATTAGGGAAGGCTTCAGGGTAGGCATAGTACTTGAGCTCAGCCTTATAGAATGTGCATAGGTACCAAGAAAACAGGATTTTCATAAGGGTGAAGTGTGTATGGGGAATTAGAAGGGAAGAATATCATGAGTAAAGGTGGCATAGTGGTTAAGTGCACATGCTCTGCTTCCTCAGCCCAGGGTTCGCAGGTTCAGATCCCAGGCACGGACCTATGCACAGCTTATCAAGCCATGCTGTGGCAGGCATCCCACATATAAAGTAGAGGAAGATGGGCATGGATGTTCGGTCAGGGCCAATCTTCCTCAGCAAAAAGAAGAGGATTGGCGACAGATATTACCTCAGGGCTGATCTTCCTCACACACACACACAAAAAAGTAAAGCCAGGAAAGCAGAAATGTAGAAAATGTGTTTATAAGCAATGAGGTCTCCAACCTGGCTGGAGCAGAAACTGGGAGCTGTCACTGTATACTGACCATCATTCTCTTTCAAAAGCCAAAGATTGAGTTTATTATTAGGTAACTGAAAAGTTTTAATTATTCTCTTCTCACTTAAATTAGGCTTTGAAACATCTGTTTACCAGTCACAGCACTGGCATTGGAAGAAAACGATGTCGATTAACAACAGAAGATCTTGAAGCTTATATATATGTCTTTTCCCAGCCTGGGGCATTAAGTGGTCCAATTAACCATTACCGAAACATCTTCAGGTCAGTATAATTTCTTTTTAGTTAAATAAAATAATCATTCCCTAAAGAGCCAATGTTTTATTTTTAAGATTAGGTTCACCACTTATCCAAAGACTCAAATAAAGTATTCTGATTTGGTAAGTTGCATAATATTTTTTATGGAAAATTTCAAACATATGGAAAAGTAGAGAGAATAATATAATGGATCCCCCACATAGCTGTCACTTATTTTATGCATAATTCTCTCCACTTCTCCTCTCTCTTTGGATTATTGTGAACAGATGTATATTTTTAGTTGTACTTTTTAATGATCATTTATTCCTTCAATAAATATTTATTACGCACTTTCTATGTTATAGGCTATAGAACATAGTCTATAGCACTCAGGATACAGTAATGAGCAAAACTAGACAAGGTCCCTGATCTCACAAAACTCGTCGCTGAGTGGGGAACACAGACATCAAGCAAATAACCACAGTAATGAACATATGGTTATAAACTAACATAAAGACTTTGAAAGAAAGGGATAAGAACCGAAGAAATGATGTTTGAACAAAGAAATGAAGGATGAGTTAAGTATTGACTAGATAAAGTTTGGGGTAGAGGGACTGGCATTCCAGAAAAAGGAAACAGCATGTACCAAAGCTGTGTGGGAAGATGAAGCGTTGTGATTTTCAGTAACACAGTGAGGGCCAGTTGGCTGGAACACAGAAAGTGAGGGTGGGAAGAAGAGAATGGGTCCGAGAGGTAGGCCGCAGCTGGCCATGCAGAGCCAAAGAGACCATTTTAAGGACTTAAGAGCCACAAATGTGAAGCTAGTGAATAAGAGTTTCAAGCAGAAAAGAGAAACAGTCCAGTTTGTATTTGGATAAATTCACTCAATGTGGAGAATGTACTGGAGGAGTGAACGTAAGGAAAGTGCAGCAGTCCGGGCTAAAGATGAGGTAGCATGAACTAGCCTGAAGGCAGTGGAGATGGGGAAAGTGGGTACATTTAAGAGATATTTAAGAGGTAAAATTGACAGAGGTTGGTGATGGGTTGGATAGGAGGATGAGAAGAAGAGGGATGTCAAGGATGGCTCCTGAATTCCTGGCGTGAACAACTGTGCGGATAGTCATACCATTCACTGAGATAGAAAATACTAGAAGAGAACTAGTTCTGAGGAGAAAGTCATGAATTTTATTGATCTTAGACTAGTCGAGTTTGAAGGGGTGCTTTAGAAATTCAAGTAGGCAGTTGGATACTAGGGTCTGGAACTCTGAGGAGAGAATCTGAGTGATGATATGTAAAATCTTGGAGTCACTGACAAAGAAAAATGAGGCTTTCATTTCGGAAGATATTGTCAAGGGAGAAAGTATAGAGTGAAAGATGAAACACGGAGATTTGTCTTTTTGGGTTTGGACTCTAGATAGGAGAAAAAGATCTCCCTTGAGAGTTGGCAACCATAGCCTGCCTTGAAAAGGTTTAGGGGCTTGAATTTATGCTATCTCCATAATACTAGAATTCTGGCAGAAACAAAGACGGAATCTCTCTGGAGAATAAATCTCAGCTCAGACTCACAATATTCCCACAGATAAAGTCCCCTGAAGATGAATTCATAATCCAAATTACAAAAAATACCAATCTACCATTAGTGAGTCAGAATACAATTGTAGCAGAACTTCTACAAATTTCAAATACTAGAACAGAGACTATAAAGTATATTTAAATCATTAAATATATGAAAGAATAAAAGATATGAGAAGAGAATAAGGAAATATCAAGAGAGGCTGGAAAGAGCTGAAAAAGAACCAAAAGAACTTCTAGAAATGAAAAATATGGTTATTGAAATCTAAAATTCCATTAAGTAAATTAAAAGGCAGATCAGACAATCTAAAGAGAATTATGAATTGGAAGATAGATCTGAAAAAATTACCTAGAATATAGCTTAGAGAACTAGAGAAGTGAAAATATAAAAGACAAGTTATATTTGACATGTAGGATAGAATTAGAAATCATATAGATAGATAGATGGAAAGAATTAAAAATCATTTATATATATATGCTAATAACTTTTTTCTAGTAAAATAAAACAATAAAAATAGAAGGTATTGGGCCGGCCCTGTGGCTTAGCGGTTAAGTGCGCACGCTCCGCTACTGGCGGCCCGGGTTCGGATCCCAGGTGTGCACCGATGCACTGCTTCTCCGGCCACGCTGAGGCCGGGTCCCACGTACAGCAACTAGAAGGATGTGCAACTATGACATACAACTATCTACTGGGGCTTTGGGGGAAAAAAAAGGAGGAGGATTGGCAATAGATGTTAGCTCAGAGCCGGTCTTCCTCAGCAAAAAGAGGAGGATTAGCATGGATGTTAGCTCAGCGCTGATCTTCCTCACAAAAAAAATAAATAAATAAAAATAAAAATAGAAGGTATTATTTTCAAACCAGTAGAGGGGTACAAGAAAACTATTAATTCAAAAGAAAGCAGGAAAGAGAAAAAGGAAGCAAAGCAGGGTAAATAGAAAGCACAAAATAAGATGTTAAAAACAATTTCAATAGGTCAGTAAGTACAATAAATATTAATGTATTAAACTTGCCAGTTAAAAAACAAAATATCAGATTGGATTGAGTCGCAAAACATAAGGATACAAAAAAGTAGAAAGAGGATTATAGCAGGTTTTATTTTAAATAAAACAAAATCCTACAAATTCTTTGAATATGGAATCCAAGGGGTGTCCTGTGATTATATGAATTAGGGGAGAAGAGGTAAATCCAAACTTTCTTTTCTGACTAACAACAACAAAATTTACAAATATAAATATACATATCTTTGGCAAAATAGAGATGTTAATTTCAAAGGTATTGGTAGGTAACAATTTATCAAGCAAGGCAATGATTAGAAAGACAGCCAGACATTGCAGAGGCTACAGGTTACATTTTATAGGATATAGCAACATTGTTTGAAGTCCATGTATTGTTGTTTGTTTTTTACAAATAACATTTGTAAAGCCAGTTATAAGAGAAAATAGAGAGAACAACACATTTTCACGCAGTCTAAATTTTGGACAGGAGACAAGAATGATGGTTTTAAAATGTTCTCAGTTTATCCCTTTATCAGAGCCAGCTTTGTGATGCGAAACAGTATGTTTTAAGTAGCTGTAAGGGAAAATATTTTGATCTTTCTGAGGTTCTTTTACTAACAACTGCTCATTAGGAGGACCTGCATTCCCAAGTGTAAGCTCTAGAATCCTGTTAATTAGCAAGGGGAGAGAGAGAGAAAAAAAAGCAGACCTTGGACGGTCAAATCTCACAATTTTATATAAAGGCGAAAGATGGTTTTTCACTAGATTTTTGTAGGTTAAATCTAGCTGGGTGAAGGTCACTTGGGACCTTCTGGAAGCTCAGCTGACCCCCTCTGACCATTCTTTACATAGGATAATCAAGGCCAAGTACATCATTAAAAATAGGGTTATACAATGTGTAATGACTATAAATAAAGTATAGTACATTATACTCAGGTATGAAAATCACCATCATCACTCTAAGGCTCCCCAGGACCATAGCCTTGTCCAAGAACTGTCCAAAATTTGGAGCCAAGGAACCAGAATGAACTAGGAATCTGACTAGCTATAGAACCTACCCTGCAAAAAAATAAAGTCTAAATTTATAACAAAGCACCAAATGATAAAGCAAAAACTCACAGACTTACAAGGAAACATGACAAATCCACAATTACTATTGGGGATTTTAGCCCACCTCTCTCAGAAGTTGATCCATCAAGCAGAAAAAAAATTATTAAGGATGTGGAAGATTTGAACAACCCAATTAACATCTTTGATCTGATGAACAATTCTAGAATCCTGCACCCAACAATTAGAAAATAACACAATATTTTTAAGCACATAGAATGTTTACAAAGATTGGTTACATACTGGACTATAAAGCAAGTCTTAACAAATACTAAAGGATCAATATCATATAGATTGTCTTCTCTGAACACAATGCAGTTAGAAATTAACAACAACAACAAACTGGTAGAAAACTCCATATATTCAGAAATTTTAAAAACTTCTAAATTACTCATGGATCAAAAAAATCATAATGAAATCAGTAAAAATTTAGGAAAAAATGATAATAAACGTGGAATACAGTTAAACAATACTTAGGAAAAAATATATTTATAGCTTTCCATGCTTATATTAGAAAAGAAGATTGAAAATTAGTGAGCTAAGTGTCCAATTTAAAAAGTTAGGAAAGGAGCTGGCCCTGTGGCGTAGCGGTTAAGTGCACGCACTCTGCTGCTGGTGGCCTGGGTTCGGATCCCGGGCACACACGAGGCACTGCTTGTCAGGCCATGCTGTGGCGGCGTCCCATGTAAAGTAGGAGGAAGATGGGCACGGATGTTAGCCCAGGGCCAATCTTCCTCAGCAAAAAGAGGAGGATTGGCATGGATGTTAGCTCAGGGCTGACCTTCCTCACCAAAAAAAAAAAAAAAAAAAAAGTCAGTAAACAAAACTAAATTAGAAGAAAAATAATTTGAATTAGATAAAAAGAAATTAATACAATCAAAGACATAATAGAGAGAATCAACAAAACCAAAAGCAGATTCTTTGAAGACTGTTAATGTAGATAAACTTTTGGCAAGATTGGTTAAAAAAGAAAAAAGAAATGAATAAACAATATTAGGAAGCAGAAAATAGACGTAAGTACAAACATAACAGAGTAAAATATGCTTCAGCTCATTTTATGAGGCTGGTATAACTTTCATACCAAAATAAGACAAGGATTGTCTAAAACAGGAAGATTATAGGTCAAATTAAGTTATAAACATAGATCCATGAATTCAAAATAAAATATTATCAAACTGAACCAGCATGCATTAAAAATTAAACCAAATTTAGCCTTCAAATCCATTAATTTAATTCACCATATTAACAGATTAATGGGAAAAATATGACCATCTAAAAAAATTATGAAAAAGCATTTAATAAAACTTGACACACATTCATGCAACAACTCTTAGTAATCTAGAAATAGAGGG